GAGAGAGAGAGAGAGAGAGAGAGAGAGAGAGAGAGAGAGAGAGAGAGAGAGAGAGCGAGGATAAAATATGTATAATCGACATTGTACTGTGGTTCGACTCTTCTTTGTCATTTCTTCCGTCCAAAATCATTCATCTTTTCTTTTTTCTATAAGTTTGAAGTTTTAAATTGTCAAACTACGCGGCACACAATTATCTACGTACTGGCTTATAAAGCAAGCATCATATTTTGACCTAGCTATACTAGAGGCATCACGTTAATTATTTGTTCATCTATAATGTTTTCGTTTTGTTTTCGATATTATGGCATGGATAGTAATCAAAAGTAACAATTCTTCGACTAATGTGTGTATCTAGTATTAATATATATAGGTCAATTACAACGCTAACTAGCTTTCGTAATTTAATTTAAAAAATAATATGTAATTAATTGTAAGAATTTTCATATTATGCAACCATATATCCCAGCACTATATTTTGATTGTCACGTTTTTAATTGCTATGTTCTAACAAGAATTCTTTCCCACAGTAGCCGAGAGGGTTGGTTACAAACCAACGCTGGAGAATCGCATGGCCTCATCGGATCATTGTCCTTTCCCTGACAACAATCGAGAATTATTTACATACATCTTATGAGGTAATTAAATGATTCCTTAAAATTGACTAATTTCTGTTTTCGAACACCGAAAGAGATGCATGTATATATATATATATATATATATGTGTCATGTACATGCATGAAATGAATATTGTATCACTTCTTTCTATTACATTGTACTAATCATCTCTTTCTATGTTTGGATGACATGATTAACAAATTGCAGAAGAAAAGGGACCAAAAAGCAATATTAAATAATGTCTAATTATATTACAAAAACTCGAGCTTCGCGGTTTCACACTGGCCGGGGTGAAGGGAGAGCTTGTGAGTACGTAGTAGCTGATATTAAACATCTCCATTCGGAATATTGGATTCTTGGTTTTTATTTCTTCTCGGGTTCTTCGTTTTGTCAAGAAAAGTAAGGCACGAGAAAAAAAATAATAATAATAATATAAGTATATATATATGTATTTATATGCATATATAAAGAGGTATTGCCAATGAAGAAGATGAAGCAGCATCAGCTCTAACTCATTGGAAGTGTTAAATTCAGCTTGGCTTGTCACTCATATATTTTAACATATTTTTTTTTTACCTTAATTTTTTTTTATTACATTTTGTTTCTATCTTAGGATCTCCAAAACCCTAGACATATTGGGGTAATTAGTTGGATTTTGGCTGCCAACAATTTGCTAATGTAACAATTCAACTATGTATTTTGTTACGACGACGATGTTTATGTATCGAAAAATAATGGTAGGTGTAATTATTGTTTCTCTAAGGACTATGTGGTGTTCCTTTTTTCACTATTAGCTTTGTTTTTTGTTTTAGTTGTTCTTTAGCTTATATTTTTATTTTATTTTTTATTTTAAAAAATTTGAAAATTATTTTAAGATGATATATACATGGTGTTCTTACAAAATTCATTACCCTCTTGGCCATGATTTTTTTTATTTTTACTAGCTAGATTTATGTTTACTAGCAGCTCAAGTGTTCACAAAATAATAATAAAAAGAAATCTTTGCTAGCTCATATCATATGTGCTAATTTGATTTTCTAATTCATATTTCATATTATTGTTTTTTTTTTTTTTTTATATATATCTACTTATAGGAATTAAGTAGAAAATCAATTTTATAAATAGTATGAGAATAAATTAAAAACAATTTGACATATGTTCAGGTTTCACCGCTACTGCGGTATTTTTGTTTAGGTTTCACATCGAACTCACATTAATTAACATTAATTAAGCTTCTTAACTTTCAACTCATTGTCGACTCCCGTCTTTTCTTCGTTCTCCATTCCTTGGTGTTTTCTCTAGATCTCCGCAAGTTTTAAATCCGACAAAAACCGTTTATTCAATAACAATAAATTTCTTTATTAGGGGTCCCAGACTTGCCAAACTTGTGTTTTCCTTGCACATTTTGATGAAAAATTTAGTTTCCATATTTTTTCTTCATGCAGCTGCAATATGGAAAAATTACCTGGACTAAAATAAACATAAAACCAACAAAATACCTCATAACAAGCACAAATTAAAATCTAAAAGTAATGAAATAGAGTGTAAAATCATATATATATATACTCATTACACCCAAATTTAGACTTTTGCTCGTCCCGAGCAGAACTCAACAAATATACAAAACTATAGTACCACATTCACAAGGATCGATTTGCTTTTAGTAGGTTCCCCTAACGAACGAGTTAACCGTCGCACATACAATAAATCCATTAGCGAAATACACAATGAAGTCGCAAACATTAGCGACATTTTTGCAGTTCTTACCGCAACAGTTATAGACATTTTTGAATTTATCGTTGCAAACATTAGAGACGTTTTTGCATTTACCGTTACATTGTTTTTAATACATCTGCGACGAACATTTGAGTCCGCCGTTATTCTCAATTCAATTTTGCGATGATGTCTACTAGCCATCTTTTTTGGCAACCCCACATTACAAAATGCTAGTGGAAGCAACTGTTGCATTAATACATGACATTCATCACTTTCAATCCCCTTACTTTGTCTTCATTAACACAACGGACTACACTAGTGCATACATTATAAACCTTAACATTTGCTATAACATCAGAAAACAACCTTCTTAGAATATGCATACATCCTGTGATATTTTCCCAATTTCAGAACGAGATTGGAAAATAATGGAACAAACATGTTTGACAGTGACTTTTTAACTTTACAATGTCCTCCTTAGCATTGTAAAAATCATCATATTTGTTAAGAATGTTTAACAACCAATTAAGCAATAATTCACTAATATTTTCTCAATATGCATGACATCACGATTATGACGTATGAGATTATATTTCCAATAAGGCAATTCGAAGAAAAAACACTTCTCTTCCTCCAATGAAATGTATGCACTGCTTGGCTCTACGGCAAATATAACAATGATTCCATCTATTTTTAATAACACCTCATCTGTTAAATAAGTTGGACCTATCCCACTGCAATTTTAAAACATGAGCGAGGTTCACTTATTTTCCCAAAAATAAAAGCCCCACCAATTCTTCCTTGATACTTGTTTTGTGTTCCTCTTTCCCAATTTCGGGCACAAGATCGTTACCTTCAAAACAGTAGAATCCCCAGATCAAATCCGATAAATTTGCTGCAAATCAAAATTCTCTTCAGAGATTATAATTTCCTTCTCTTACTTTAAACAAGCACCGACCGAGCTGCGATGGTGGAGTGACATACCCAATCGAACGATGGAGGAGTTAAATATTTTAATGCAAAAAGGATATGATGGGAATGTTTAAATATTTAGATTTATGTCAAATCCAATGTTAATTAAAATTAAAACAATGGACTTTTACTAAAAATCAAAATGTAATTGTAATGTGTTAGGGGTGTCCCTAATTTCCCTATAAAAAACATTGTTTGAATTGTTGCTCTTAACAACCTGTCATTGATAACAACCTATAGAAAAATTAGTACCCAAACTTATTATTGCGGTCAAGATCTAAAAGTTCGAATTGCGCCAATCACTCATTCTTTCATTTGAAATCCCTTTTTTTTTTCCCCACAAAAAATAGGCGAAATCTCTTGCCTTTGTGGCCCCGTTTCTTTTGATGGAGAAATGTAAACTATGATGACTGAACGGTTCGTTAGGGTAACGGATCTGAGCCTGGTGCCCACAGGGAACTCACTGTCATTTGAATTGACATTATCACACTGCGATTCCAATTCGATCCCAATTTTTTTTTTTTTTTTTTTTATTCTGAAACAATATTTTTCATTTTGATTCTAAAAGTCCTGATTCCGATTTTTAGGATTTTTCGAAACATAATTGAAATAAGTATTTGATTATGATTTTAATATTCAAAAATATTTTCTAAGATTCCATTTTTTTTTCTTGACATTAATTATATTACAATCAATTAATTATGAATGATAAATGATAAAATTGAAAATAATTCAATCAATGTTTCATTATAAATGTAAAATGACGAATAATTTGAGAAAAAAAAAAAAAAAAAAACTCTTTGTAAAGACAATAATACTGAACATAGGGAGTATTAAATATAATTAGCGAACAAGAACTCAACAATTGATCAAGATTATGAAAAAATAGAAATTGAATCCCACAATGCTGATTGCCAGTGTGACATACATAACATTAAAATTCATATTAGTTAGTAGGGAAAACATTTCGATTCTCTCATTTTCTAAATTCGCTCTCTTTACTTTAACAACTCTAGTCTCAAATTTAAATTGCCGAATATATTTTCAGAATCCTAAGCCTCCCAGCTACCCGACATTGTAGTTGTCGATTAGGGGTTAGTGGGTGAGTTATTAAAGTTAGAGCAACTCCAATGGAGGAACTAAATGAAGTATCAAACTAAAAAATTACCACTTTGATACTCAAAAATTAAAAAATCCTCCTCCAATGGAGGCATTAAAGTGAGAATTATTTTGATACTCAACCAGCCCGAGGTGCGAAAATACTCCCTGGAAAATGAGGTATCAAAAATATAACCACCCCATTAACCTATCACTATTTGACATATGGCATTTAAAAATATAATTATTCATATATTTAAAATTTGATAATCTATTTGATATTTGTGGTTGGAGTGAATTTTTTTTCGAGAAGTATCAAAGTATTATATCAAGTATCAAATGAATGTTTAATGCTTTATTCTGATATCTCCCCATTGGAGTTGCTCTTAGTTTGAAGGGCAAATTACCAAAACCCCCCTGAGGTAAGCCTAAATAACGAAAATCCCCCCCATGTTCTCGTAATTACGAAAACCCCCCTGAGGTATGCAGACGTCTTACAAATCGCTCTAACGGTGTTAGACTCGATAGAATCTTTTTGATTCTCCCGAATATTCCTCCGATAATACCAATTTTGCCCTTGTACACGAAATTAACCTTAGGGGGGTAATTGTAAGCATTTTAATGTTACGCCTCCACCAATCATCACCATCCACGTCATCATCTTCTTCTTCCTCTGGAAAAAATCTCATGGAGCAAAAGCAGAGCTCCGCCCTACTCCACCACCGCCACCGCCTCTATCAAGAACAGACCAATTCTTGGCACAACCAAGACACCCGCCACGTGGACCTCCTCTCCGCCGTCGATCTATCTCACCACTTCCCTTACCACTCAATCCCGAAACCCGAATGGCAATGCAACAGTAGTAGCTTGATCAATAGAGAAAAAAGAAAAGCACAGGTTTCATAATAATAATAATAATAATACTACTTATGTTATTTATGGGATCTGATTTTTTTTTTTTAATTTTAATTATTTCTTTCGTTCGTGTTTTAAATCTCAGTTCGATATCGAAGAAAACAACGAAAACATAGTCGAAGCAGAGGAAGAGAAATCGGAGATCACCGCGAAAACCGAAATGGAAACTTCCGGAAACACTTGTTCGAAGGAAAGCTCCAAATTTTCCGAGGTTCAAAAACCTGATTATATTCATGTTCGGGCGAGACGGGGCCAAGCCACTGATAGCCACAGATTCGCCGGAAACCTACCGGCCGACGTCTCTCAGGTGGAGTCTCTCAAAGTGCTGAATTTCGCCGGAAGCTACTTCAGCGGTCCAATCCCGCCGGAGTACGGCTCGTTCAAATCGCTCGAGTTCATCCACCTCGCCGGAAATTTCCTCGGCGGCGCAATACCGCCGGAGCTGGGGAATCTGAGATTTCCGACGCAAATATCTCCGGCCAAATCCCTAAACAACTCAGCAACCTCACGAAACTCGAATCGCTCTTCCTCTTCAAGAAGCAACTCACCGGAAAACTCCCGCCGGAGCTCAGCAAAATCTCCACCCTCAAAATAATTTCTTTTTCAGCTTTTTTCTTTTATTTTCACATATTTAACAGAAGGATATAATAGACATTTCACGTTTTCGGTTAAAAAAATTCGGTCAACCGTTAGTCAAGGGGGGTTTTCGTAATTACGAGAACATGGGGGGGATTTTCGTTATTTAGGCTTACCTCAGGGGGGTTTTGGTAATTTGCCCTAGTTTGAATTGGTTGCATTAGAATAGGGAGTTAATTATAAGAGATATTTGCCTTTACTTGAAATATTTGAAATGGGTAGTTGTGGGATTCGCATACCCTTTTACTTGGTCTATGTCTGATACTATATTGAATGACCACCCCAACCAAAAGTTTGATCTGTTAGTGAAATGCATCATTTAATATTAATATCCCTAACATGTAAAGACGTAAAGAGAGAATAACAAGTATTATGAATTGCTATAAAAATGCGTAAGATGTATTCTTTTTAGCACACGACTCCCTAAATATATGGATGAGGTTTTAGAGTATAATAAATAGTTTGCTAAACAAAATAGAATCATAGGGGGGTATTTTCAAACATTAATAATACAAAGAGTTTTTTTAACAATGGAAGTAAACATATAGGTATTAAAGGTAATAAACTGATATGTTTCTTTCAATAAAAAAACTAAAAAACAAGTTTTAATAAACATGAATCATAAATAAAAAATTGGGGTTTTTGTACATAAGTCCCCAACCAAACATCTTTATTATTCTAGGTGTAGAGGCTATATCTCTATCACCAATAAGCCCATCCCTTTAATATTTATTATAAATAAAGGAAACATCAATGTATATATGCCAATATTACCCTCAACCCTTTATACCCAATTATTAATTGTAACCCAAATTTAATCAATTTTGTCCACAAAAATCCAATTTTGACAACAAAAATTCAATTTTGTCTTTTTTTTTTCAAAATCTTTTTTTGTTTGCCGCCGGATTCCAGTGTTGACCGGCGGTCACGCCGGTCTCCAACGTTGACTTTTCAAAATTGGAGCATACTTTAATATGCTCTAATTTCATCCTTAACTTAATTTAACCTCAAATTTTACAGATTATTCAGTTTTGACCCAAAACTTTTTTTTTTCAAATTTTTTTTTTTTGCCGCCGGATTCCGGCGTTGACTTTTCGATTTTTTTTTTCTGTTCCGGATTTTTTCGCCGGTTTCCGCCGTTGACCGACGGTCTCCGGCGTGACTTTTTTTAGTGTTTTTGGAGTTTATTTATTTTTATTATTTTTTTTTTGTTTTTTTTTTACGTCCGCCGCTAAACGTTGACCGTAGTTGTGTTGTCACTGACAGTAAATTAACGCAATTGTACTGTAATGACAGTTAATTAACGTAATTGTACTGCCGTTGATAATACATTTATGTAATTGTCTTGCCGTTGACAGTAAATTAATGTAATATTTTTATTTTTTGTTATTTTTTTTATTTTGTTTGATTTGTTGACAAGTCAACGTAATTATATTACTGTCGTTGACACTAAAATAACTGTAAACACAATAATATTACTGTCAACAACATCAGTATTATTATTTTTTTGGGTTTTTTGTTTTGTTTTAGTTATTCACAGAGTAACGTAATAATATTACTGTCTATTATTGTAATATTACTGTAAACACAATAATATTACTGTGGTTGACGGTAATATTACTGTTATTATAGTAATATTGCTGTCAATCACATCAATATTATTATTTTGTTTGAATTTTTTTTGTTTGTTTGAGTTATTCACGGAGTAACGCAATAATATTACTGTTTATTATTGTAATATTACTGTGGTTGACGACAATATTACTGTTGTTATAATAATATTACTGTCACTCACAATAATATTAATTCTTTTGGCTTTTTATTATGTTTACATTTGTTGAACGGTCAACATAGTATTATTACTCTATTACTCAGTAATAATGAGTTTTGTTGTGTTAATATTACTGTGCTAGAGATTAATATAGCAATATTACTGCGTTAAACTGTAGTTTAGTTAATTTTACTGTGTTTAACAGTAATATAGTTAATATTACTGTCAATCACAGCAATATTGCTGTTTAAACGAAAAAAAAAAGTTACAGAAAGAAAGAAAAGAAAAAAAAAATCGAAAAAGTCAACGCCGGAGACCGGCGAAAAAATCCGGAAGAGAAAAAAATAATTAAAAAAAATTTGAAAAGTCAACGCCGGAATCCGGCGTGAAAAAAAAGTTTTGAAAAAAAAAAAGTTTTGGGTCAAAATTTAATAATTTGTAAAATTTGGGGTCAAATTGAAGTTAAATTAAGTTAATGATGAAATTGGATCATATTAAAGTATGAAGGGTTATTTTAGTCCTTTACAAAAATCTGGACTATGTGTGGACTTATTGGTAAATGAGTTTTTTGTCTGGATCTCTATATGAATAAGTACCCATTGATGGTCTTATTTGTAATGACCCCTAAAAAATTTATCTTATATTAAAAAGAAAGATATTTTGAATGAAAATCTAAACGTAAACCTATTGGCAATTTTGTCAATTAATAACTCTCTAATTTAAGACTATGATAATTGTTCGGTTCATAATTTAAAATACTTTAATATTTTCCTATTCTTTTGAGTACTGATATAATCCACTTCAACTAATTCCCTATATTCATGCAATCCAATTCCTTTTTCGTTTTTTTTTTCTTTTTTTTTTTGTTGCAGAGTTGTATATTTTTATTTTTTTTCAGATTTTCCTTTTCCACAGTAACTCCTTACTAACTCCTCGTGGGAAAAGTTAGAACCCCATGATCTCAACCCCATTACAAATTTTACTCTATTTAAACTGATGAAGAACTCCAGCGAAAAACATAAATTTTTTTGTTCGTCTTCTTCTTGCTCACTTTTTTTTTATTCCTCCTCTTCTTCCTCACCAAGATTTTTCAACGTAAATAATTGCTTTCTACAAGTAAAAAATACGATTATTTATTTAGATTTATTTTACATCATATGTTTAAGTGTCACAGCACATAATAGTTGCTAACGATTTGGATTTTTCTGTACAACCCAGGCATAATTTCCGTTCACAATGATCCACGTGTGTTAACCATATGCCTTCACATAATGTTCATCTCTTTTATTGTCCGGAAGGAGTCACTGTCTGTTAACGTTGGAGGCACAACAATTGTTGTAACGTTAGTCGTATTGTTTGGCAAATTGGTGTTCCAACGTCTTAGCGGGAAACCTCGTGTTGAATCTGAGTTCACTACAATATAATCCAACAATGTATTAATAGGTAGTCAGTCCCGAATTTGCACCACTCTTAGAATAGTTTTATCACATCTTTCAAACCCTACGGCAGCCACTTTCCCACATTGTTATTTCTTTCTTCTACTTTTTTGTTACCCACCAATCACATATGTGCAAACCCATCACCATAACTCATTTATTTAACTGCTATTTTTCCCACATTCTTCAAAACTCAATTTGTTAATCTCAACTCCCGGCGCCCTATATAAATATCATTCGGGAAACTATTCCTCCTACATAAATTATTTTCTTTCCCTCTTTTTGTCTTTCATGACATAAACATACTTCAGCGTACACAATTATTTATTTTTGTTTAACTTTACCAACAATTCCCTGTGTTGGATATGTTCGTTTCCAGCACCTGTTATATGCTAAAGTTTTGATATTATTGTTGGACGTTGTAATGTTAAATTTAAGAATATTCGATATCTCTACATGCTATTTTTTTACAGGAATTTGAATATGCACTATATTGCACTTATTCAAGTATGACACTATTGTTAGTAAGAGATTTTTTGCGCTAAAAGTGGCGTATTTATATTAATTTTAATCGCCGTTTCACTATTTATATGTGTTAAATAATTGTGTTGCTTTTCCAATTGTAATACCGCTTCGAATAAGGTAGAAATCTCATGAGATGAAGATGAGTAAAAATTCTACCCCGACAATCGTTGCCTACAAATAACGGATGCGGGATTTGAATCCATCTACAGTGAAAACCAAAATAATGAAACAGAGAAGGCCACCAAACCATTCTTCAACATAAGCAATTGCTTTCTACATGTAAACAATACAATTATTTATTTAGATTTATTTTACATCACATGTTTAAATTTCACAGCACGTAATAGTTGCTAAAGATTTGGATATTTTTGTACAACCCATGCATAATTTTCGTTGACAATGATCCATGTATGTCAGCCATATGCCTTCACATAATTTTCATCTCTTTTATTGTTGGGCATGAGTCGCCGTTTGTTAACGTTGGAGGCACAACAATTGTTGTAACGTTAGTCACATTGTTTGGCAAATTGGTGTTCCAACGTATTCGCGCGAACCTCGTGTTGAATTTGATTTTACTACAGTACAATCCAACAATGTATTAACGAGCAGTCAATCCGAAATTTGCACCCCTCTTAGATTATTTTTATCACATCTTTCAAACCCTACTGCGGCGGCCACTTTCCCACTTTGTTATTTATTTCTTATATTTTTTTGTTACCCACTAATATAATCACATGTCTCCAAACTCATCACCACAACCCCTTTATTTAACTGCTATTTTTCCACGTTTTTCAAGAACTCAATTTGTCAATCTCAACTCCCAAAGCCCTATATAAACATCATCTAGGACACTATTCCTCCTACAGAAATTATCTTCTTCCCCTATCTTTGTCTCTCGGGGCATATACATACTACAGCGTACACAATTATTTATTTTGGTTTAACTTTACCAACAATTCACCTATGTTGTATATGTTCATTTCCAGCATCTGTTATATGCTAAAATTTTGGTATCATTATTGGACACTGTAATGTTAAATTTAAGAATATCCGATATCTCTACATGCTCTTTTTTTACAGGAATTTGAATATGCACTATATTGCAATTATTGAAGTATGGCACTATCGTTAGTTAGAGATTTTTTGAGCTAAAATTGGCGTGTATTAATTTCAATCGTCGTTTCACCATTTATATGTATTAAACAATTGTGTCACTTTTGCAATTGTAATACCGCTTCAAATAGGGTAGAAACTCATCAGATGAAGATGAGTAAAATTCTACCCCGACAATCGTTGCCTACAAATAACGGGTGTGGGATTTGAATCCATCTACAGTGAAAACCAAAATAATGACACGGAGAAGGTCACCAAATCATCGTTTAAATTTCGTACGACACAACGTTGTAGAGTAATCCGACCAACAGAAATGATCAAGTTCGCATACGACGTGAACGACGAGAACGGCTATTGGTCCAATGATACGAATATGTAAGACTTTGACAATGATCACAAATATTATGATGGTAGTGACGAGGATTGCTCGAATGATTCAGACCTGTTAGACTTTCCAAACGATCGCAAATATTCTGATGGCAGCGAATCGAATTAGTTTAATCGAAGAGATATTTATATTTTGTGTTTTTTTTTTGTTCTTTTAATTTATTTTATTTTTACAATGTTCAAACTATTAATTATGTCTACACATCCATTATATTTTCTGTCCAGTTTAGGTTTTAGTTTTTTTTTCCCTCTTTTGATCTATTTCTGGACTTTAGTTTCTAATTGTAGCGCCCCGCCCCGAGTAGCAGGCACCTCGTGGCGGAACACCACTCAACATGCAGTACATTCAATGACCCCAAATACGCTCCTCAATTTTTCAATGACCAAAACATTAAACCCCCAATATCTATACCATCGTGTTTACAAAAGGAGGTTCTATTACAAGTCGACTTCGACACCACTTACTCTATTACAAAATTCTCGATCAAAGGATTCCTATACGGAACATAAATAGAGATACCTCTCGACGAGACTAATCGGAGGCATACACGAGCTTTAACTCTTAGTATGAAATTTTAGGTATAAATCTTTCTTTTACCTGCGCATTAATATCAGAAAGGAGAAACGAATAAGTCCGAATGACTTAGTGAAAAACATATGATCCATGAGTATGATGAGAATCAACAGAACAGAACATATAACGAGAGACTTTACAAGAATTTCATTAACAGAAGTGTAACATGTCCAAGAGTGTAACATGTACGGCTTGAGTTCAATATTTGGTGGGGTCTCCAACCTTGTAACTCCCAACAAGTAAAAATCATATCACATCCTTATCCCTCCACTCCGTCCCGAGTGGCCACTCGGTCGGAAACAGGCATGAGGCACGACCGGAACGTGCCGATTCGGCTCAGGAACATTTAACTCCAAACGAACGTGAGTCCGAACCATCAGGAGGTACCATTCGGGAGACCAGTCATCGTCAGCCCAATACTGCCCGATCGTCTTGCCGAAATGGTCCTAGGGCCCAGCTCCCCCAAGAGCGTCCTCAAGGGTGGGGACAGTAGGTTCAAGAATCAATATCATTCCTTTTAGGAATATCAAGTCATTCATTTCAAGAATCAATTCAAGAATCAAGTCAATCATTCACAAGATAAGTCACGATCATGATAATTGAATATCAAGTCTCAGGATAATGAACATGTTCAGATTTCAATTCAAGCCAATGAAGAATTGTCGTGAATATGGAATTCAAGAAGAACAATAAATTCCATGTCAGGTTCCAAGAACGAGTATATCAAGATCTCAATGAATTCAATAAACATGAGATTCAAGTTCGAGCCAACAAAATATTTATTCTCGGAAAACATTCAAGACAAGATTTTGAGAATAAATATAATTCAATATCGATTCAAGGAAAATGTTCAGGCCAAGGAATCAAGTGTAGGAATTAGCCGTGAACATAGCAACCAAGAGAATTGACAAGTTCAAGATTTCAAGAACAAGATCAAGGTTCCAAGTTCGAGCCAAGGAAACGAATATGCTCGCAGAACATTAAGGATCATATTCCAAGAAAAATATAATCAATGCATCAAAGGATTCAAGATGGAGAATATATTTGGTTCAAACAAAGGAGATATTAAGCGCAGGAAAGAAATCGGATAAGGAGTCATAGTTTCTCACCTGGAGTCCAACGCTAGTGCTATAGAAGTGCTATAGAAGCATCTTTAAGCTTAAACCTTGAGTGAGAGCTTTACTACGCTCAACACCTATGCAAATATTAGAACTAAATAAGATTCCGAACAGTAATATAGTCATACTACCATCCACTATATGACATAGTCAATTTCTTAAACATATACTAAGAATTGATTCTCGTGGCACTCTATTCAAATAATCACTGCGATCGTCGTACTTATCCGAATGACCTAAACGATATATAAAGTTAAAGATAACATCTGTATCTACAATTTTACTAAAGACTTTAATCCCAAATTAACAACATAACCCGTCAATAATAACCCCGAAAGATGAGTACATAAACCTGCCAGATTTTTTGGATAATTTCGTTTGCTGTCACAGTTTCTTTGGAAAATCATAACAAATCGTACGGTTATCCAAATTGTCCAAATAATACATCAAATGAAACCTGACAACTTAATCTACAAGTTTCATCCAGACGCACAGCCCAAATTATGATCCCAACATATCGAAAACAGTCCCGCAAGAAGATACTCAAAACTGCCCTGTTTCCGGCAGATTACTGTCATCGGATTCCGACCTCTAAAACACGTATATTAAATACTCTAATTCGATATGATTGAACACTTACTTACAGTTTACGATGTCCTCTACGAGTTTCCTGAAGGAACCGATTCCAAATTCGCATTCGAAACCCTTCGATTTCGGCTCCGAAAACAGGTGCGGCAGCAGATTTCATTATAGATCCAGCGAGCAGGCTGAACTTCTCGCCCAATTCCGGCAACCACCGCCGATTAATACTACCGAGCTCCAACACCAATCGAAAGCTAACATCTCAAGGTTTCTAACCGTGTGTCCTGATCGTCAATATTCAACCTTTAAGGCCTCCGAGCAATTAATTCTTCAAAGGACCAAAAGCTGAAATTCAACTCTGGACAGCTCGTCTTCTTCGACCCATTCCGACCACCACCACCGATGTGAAGCTGACCTCTTATGGTTTATACTAGTGCCTCCGGATTCTCAAAACTCTGTTCATAAAACGTTGCGGCACTTCCTTTGAAGAATCAATTCGGGCTTTCATCTTTCACCTCTCAATTCTTCAACCTAAACTTGATTACACCAAACCCTCACTTGGAAACTCGATAATTCCGATTAATTTAGGTGATTCCAGCCAAGACTCCGCTAGAGAGAATGGCGGAGATAGACGTGAGCAAGAGAGAGAGAAAAGAGGAAGATAGAGAGAAAGAGAGAGACGGTGAGGTAGAGAGACGGTGATGGAGAGAGAAGAGAAACGTGGCTGCCATAGAAGGAATTAGAATAGGCGAAGTACACGTCAATCCCTATCTCACTATAAATTCTGAAAATTGGCTACAAGGCCAAATTGTTTTCTTAATTACCAAATAGACGCCATAACTTTAGATAATTACTATTCTACACTTCCCATCAAATTCGAAATATATTATAATTCCATATCGACACATATCAACTAAATAAATTCAATTATCCCCAAACTTGAACAACTTACACATTTACGGGGTGTTACACTAATTATACATTAGAGTGTTTGTTTAGTACTACGATCTATTACTGGAGTTGCTATAGTTTGTTCCTGCTACAACAAAAAAAATCAATGATCGAATATCTAATGTTGAAGAAGGCTTTCCACTGTACAGGAGAAGGGATAATGGCAGGGTAGTCAAAAAAGAAAAAAATGATGTCGATAAAAGATTTGTGGTGCCTTATAATCCACATCTAATGAAAAGGTACAAGGCACATATAAATGTTGAGTGGTGCAACCAATCAAGATCAATTAAGTATATTTTCAAGTACATCAACAAAGATCATGATCGTGTTACTGCAACTTTTATGGAACATGAGCTGGCGACTCAGAATCAGAAAATTACGATGAGATCAAGATGTACGTTGATTGTAGATAGTTATCACCATGTGAAGCAGTGTGGCGAATATTTGCATTCGATGTTCATTTCAGAGAATTGGCAGCGGAGCGTTTGTCTATTCACCAGCTCAATGAAAGTTGTATTTTTTTATGGTGATGGGCCTCTTGACTCGGTTATTGAGAGGCCACATGTACAACAATCAATTTTTTTAGCATGGACGGATGCAAACTCTAGATATACTACGGCGAAGGGTCTTGCCTATGCGGAATTAACAGCGAAATTTGTCTGGAAACAACCTTTACATGTACGGACTCCCAGAAGAAATGATTCTCTGTTGGAAGAACTCATTACGTAGCCCCAGGAAGTGGTGAATTATATTATATGCGAATCGTACTCAATATAGTTAGAGGACCTTCTTATATTGAGTTAAGAACCTTCACTAATGTGGTTTATTCTACGTTTAGAGATGTTTGCTAAGGAATTGGTTTGTTAGATGATGATAAGGAGTACATATATGTTATTGAAGAAGCAAGCCATTGGGAGTTTGTTAAATTCCTAACGAAATATATACACAACTCTTCTATTATCGAATCAAATGGCACGGCCTAAAAATGTTTGGGGTAAAGTATGGCATTTTTTGATTGATTGATATCCTGCGCACGCAAAGAACTGTACTCCAACGTGAAGGTAGTTTTTCATATATTTTATGTATTTTGTAAATATGATACAAAATTTATTTTGTCTGTCATTTATTGTTTTATGCATTGTTGCTAATTTCATAAATTAATTTTTATATCTCAGCTTTGCAGCTTGATGAAGATGATTTGATTATTTTTACCCTAATGGAAATTTAAGAAAATCTGCGAAGTATCAATAAGAGTGTAGTTGATTTTCCATCAATGTCGTTCCCAAACATGTCTCTTATCCCATAAGTTCAAAATAGACTTATATATGATGAACCTAATAATGACAGAAGTGCACTAACTGCCGAACATTCAGAGTTATTGTCAAGTCTCAATGTCGAATAAAGGGTTATCTATGATAAGATTATGGTTCGTGTAAATGAGAGGCGTGGTGGTTTATTTTTCCTTTATGATTACGGAGGTACTGGTAAGACCTATATTTGGAGAACGCTTTTGGCAGCTTTAAGGTCAAAAGGTGAAATAGTACTCACAGTTGAAGAACATCACACTCGAGGTTTGTCATTCCTTTTAATGTTTATGAAGAATCTACTTGCAACGTACATTGCATGTGAGTCCGCTTTGGCGAAGTTGATAATGAAAGCGAAACTCATCATTTGGGATGAAGCTCCGATGATTCACAAGCATTGTTTTAACGTCGTACATCAATCTTTGGAGGATATCCTAAGCCAGTTTGATCCTGAAAATGAGAACAAACCCTTTGATGGCAAAACATTTGTTTTTCGAGGTGATTTCAGACAAATATTGTATGTTGTGTTAAAGGAAACAAGACAACAAGTTGTGTTGGTGAGAATAAATTCTTCACATTTGTGGTGGCATTGTGAATTATTAATATTAACAAAACATATGAAGTTTTTCTCAACAAGTTCTAATTGCGAGGAAATGAAGAACTTCTTAAATTGGGTGTTAAGTATAGGCGATGGTACTAATGGTGACGACAATGATGGAGTTATGGGCATTGAGACACCTGATGATTTGCTCATATAATTGATACGCGTTTTCCTCACGTATAAATTACCGCAAGTATACAGTATCGCATTTTGCAGAACAGTGGTTCCGGATATCGATCCACAGGGACCTTGTAGATTCACATCCTGAGTAGTGTAATTATATTATCGTTATATTATCTAGCCGATTGTAAATATTTGGAATGGTGAGAAACCCTAATTTAAAAGCATGCAAGATCGTAAACATGCAAATATAGAATGTATGTAAATAAAGTAACGACAACTCAAAGCGGGGGGACTTCGATTTAAAGGGGACTTCTAGAGCCAAATCCACCTATGTATAATCAACAACAATCTACAAATCCGTTATCTAATGCCACATTCCTATTCGTTAACCCAGACGCTAATGTACTCTAACCCCCGTCTCCAGTGTAGTTAGAGTCTACCCACAGGACCGACGTCTCCGTTCAGAACCTGCTATTAAGAGAGCATTTAGGTCAAGTCCTTATGGGCTACCCGAAGTGCATCACGTCTCCGTTTCCACACCCCGAGCTATGTTTTCCTAACTTCAAACAAGAAATGCTCTCTCGAGTTCATTCCTATTTAATATCAATCCGAGAGCTGATCAAACAATCAGAAGCATTTAATACAGGAAAACATAAACGAAATCGAAACACGACAAAAAGATAACAGAAATGACGATCGAAATGAATATATACAAGGCTTTATTACCCTAGAAGAAAATGTTCTTAGTTCATAACAAACATAATGTCAAAATAATGTACAAAGGAAATGAAGAACAAAACGTAAAGAAATTGCGTAAGAATAACCCAAGTCGAAACCCCCGTTGATGATTCCCGTGAAGAACTGTCGAAAACCGTAAAAAGTCGAAGAAGGAATGAAGAATGAAAGGGCCTTTCTATCTATAGTGAAATGCAAAGCTTCCTCAAGAAGCTTTGCAAAACAAAATATCTTTCACAAAAGGCGTGCCCAGATCGCGATCTGGGTTGTTTGGATCGCGATCTGGCAGCCTCGGGGAACTGCCCACCGCCATGCCAGATCGCGATCCAGAAATGTGTATCGCGATCTGGTTCTTCAACATTTCAGCACTGTAAGATCCCCCAGATCGCGATACGGATTGCTGGATTGCGATCTGGATCTTCAACATTTCAGCACTGTAAACAACCCCAGATCGCGATACGGATTGCTAGATCGCGATCTGGATCTTCAACATTTCAGCACTGTAAACACCCCCAGATCGCGATACGGAATGTCAGATCGCGATCTGGGTCTTGATCCATTTTCATTCTGTGACAACCCCTAGATCGTGATCCGGAGATGTCAGATCGCGATCTGGGTCTTCTTGCCCCCAAAATTGGCTTGAAAATTCGGTTTCGCATTCAAATGGCTTCGACTCGGCAAAAATACCTAATAAAACCCTGAAATAGAAATAAAACAAGAAACGCAATAATATATACAAATAAAGCCGAAACTCGGACGAACGAAGACCAAAACTCGAAGATTTGATAAGCAAAAATCGTGCAAAACGAACACTTATCACACCCTCAAACTTAGATCTTTACTCGTCTCGAGTAAATCAAAACGAAACTACAACAAGAATGAAATAAAAACAACAAACTAAACTAGGCCACTAACGTAGGGAATCACGATTGCATTTAGCGTATTCAACAAGCCGTTGAACCCCTGGGTACCCCCAAAGGACGAGTTGTGTCTCGTGAGGGTTTTTAGACAACACACCCACAAAGTTGCCGGATTGGTCAAAGCATTGCAATTAATTCCAAAGATAAAACGAGCTAGATAACTTAAAATCTTAGAATGGTATACGACTGAAGGTATTCGACTTTCTTACCGACGCAATTAGTTGTTTCTACACCAAAATGAAAGATAGACTAAAGAATCCGTAATTAGACAATAAACACAATTATCGAGGGTTTTGAGTAGAAATGTGGGTGAAAAGCAAGTTTTGATTCTGAAATTCAAAAACTCGAGTTGGGCATAAGTAGGTCTATTTATTCAATATAAGAAATGACAACAACAATATTTTTGGTGATTTTCATCACAATTTTTTTCTTTTTTCATTTTTTTTGAAATGGGCATAATGGTGACTCGTGCAAGGCTCGACACCACTGTGTTATTTCCCTGACCTATGTATCGAACTTTAGTCCAAGAAACCCCTAAGCTCGACAGCTCGAGAGACTTAGCGACGAGGTGCACCCAACGGGTTAAGCTCGAGTCAGAAAGGCGGGGAAATCAGAGCGTGAATCACAACAATACCACAAATTATTATTTTTCTCTTTTTCTTCTTTTTTCTTTCTTTTTTTTTTTTTTTAACGTAATAACATAAAAAACGTAAAGACCATTGAAAGAACTTTTAGCCAACAACTGGAAATCGTAAACGCACAATTCAATTCTAACTCGCCCCCCAGACCTCAGACTTGTATACCCCTCAGAAAAGTGCGCTCAAGCTTAATCGGAAATGATTCGAAAGGCTATCCACACAAGTTGCAAAAACGCGGTCGGAAGGTTCATCTATAATTAGCCGGTTATCCAAAATTTCAATTTTAAAATCAACTAGCCCATCTACTAATTCATTAATTGCTTTGCTTCAATAGAACCCGAAAATGCAAATTACACTCGATCCTAAATGAAATGCATGTGACAAACATAACACAATTACGGAAATCGAAATACATAAACGAAACTAAATTATGTGATATGCATGCAAAAGACCAAATCAAATCAAAATAAGATAAATAAAATAAAATAAAAACAAAGTCTAGCAAAGATACATTGTAAACGAAATATCAATCCAACGACTTATCCCAAAATAAACGAAATAAAAACAAAAACAAAAACAAAGAGGTTCAACAAACACCACCCTCAAACTCAAACTCTAGCATAGTCCATATGCTCTAAAGCAGAATAAAAAATAAAAGGGATAGAAAACACAACGTCCCTAGATGTCATGGTCTTCCTCGATTGCTCGTTCCTCGTCCTCCCGAAGTCCACGCTCGTGCTCCTCCCAGACGGGCCTCACCAGTGTGGTGGTCGCCGCGCGTGCAGCTTCTTCTGCGGCCGCGCTGGAGGAAGATGCTCCGTGAAAACGAGGCCGTGGTGGGAATGGTCGTGGCTCGACGACGTCGTCCGTCCTGCACTGGAGTGCTGCTGCCATCACCTTGATCATCTTCTTGAACCAGCCCACGTTCTCCTCAATAGCATCCATCCACTCGCCCATATACTCCGAAAGTGGCAGAGCTGCTGCTGCTGCTGCTGCTGTCTGTTGTTTTTTTCCGCCTCGTGGTGCGGCTCGGGCTGGTCGGGAGTCCTCGGATGGTGGCGCGTCTAGCTCAGGGCCATCGCCCTCGCCCTGTGGACCGGAAGCTAGCTGGAGCTTGTCGAACGGGAAGATCGGCTTCGGAGCCTTTGTTACCTTGTCGTCGGCAAACATCGCCACGTTGGCATTTTTGTATAAGGTGGTGATGAGGGAGGGGAACATCGGCCCCAAAGAGGTGTCGCCCATGCACCGTCGAATCTCTGAGTGGATAATGGCACCCACGTTCAAAGGGGTGCCCTTCATGATTGCGTACATCAACGTGAGGCGAGTGGCATAGGGCCGGGCCGTTGAAACCGTCGGCATGAGTCGGGAGCAAACGAAATACATCCGAATCTTTGCCTCCCTCGAAAGCTCGGCTCGATAGAACCACTTATCTCCTGGTGCCCAATATGATCCTCGGGGGCACAGGGCCTGAATGAGGTCCTTGTACGTCGTCTCCATCTTTAGTGCTTGGAACGGCTCGGTCGGGATGTCCGGAAGATGGGGGATAATCTTGTAGACTCGGTTGATGGCTTCTGCGTCATAACGAACTTCGACGCCCCGGATGAAAACCACCGAGCCTTTGCACTGACCGGCATTGGCGTAGAAGAGTCGAACCAAGTTCTCGTTGTAGGTGCCCGGTTTGTCGACGAGTACTCTCCAACACCTTTCTTGGATGTTGTTGATGACCGAGGGGCATCCAATCGTACGGACATCCAACTCACGCTCTGGGACGATCGATCGAGGGAGGCGGTCGATAAATTCGCTCTTGGCTTCGACATTCACATAGATGTCTTCATCGTGTTCGTCGAAGGTGACGTCGCTCACGAGCGTGCGTTGATTGGCACGGGAGCCCGTGTTGAGTGGCACGTCACCGGTTCTTGGCATTGTTCGCTCGGTTGGTCCCTCCGAATGTGAAGGCGAGTGTGAAGAGCCTTCTCCCCCCTTTTTGCCTTGAGCCTTGCCCTTCTTCTTTTCCGGTGCTTTTCCTTTGCCCTTCGGTTGGGCTTTCTTGGAATTCTCACCCGTCTTTTGGAGTTTGTTTGCCGGTGAAGTCATGGTGTGAATGAGGGTGCAAAATGAAACTTGAAATTGGTTCGGACAATTCGTCGAACACTTGGCGTGCGCAAGTTCTTTGAAACTCCTTGAATGTTAGTTCCTTTCGAAAACTAACCCTCATTTGTTGAAGATTCATCCACAATTCTCAATAACAACAAGCAATAATATTAATAGTTGATGAAAATCTAAAAATATGCAAGTTGGAAGAAGAAATTTGATAGAAAATCGAAGTTCTAGGGTTGGGGGAAAGGGTGGTTTTCGAATTTTGTAAAAGAAAGAAGTGAGAAAAAGAGAAGGGTTTTTCGAATAAGTACAGTTTTTGCCCCCAGATCGCGATATGGATTTCCGGATCGTGATCTGGGTCCGCATCTTGTAGCCTCTGTAAGACCCCCCAGATCGCGATCTGGATTTGACCCCTATTTGCTCTCTGTAAGACCCCCCAGATCGCGATCCGACTTTCTGGATCGCGATCTAGATCCTCATTTTTTTTCTTCTGTATAACATCCCAGATCGCGATCCGGGTAGTGTGTATCGCGATCCGGTTCCGCTCCAATTTCACCACTGTAAGACCCCCCAGATCGCGATCCGACTTTCTGGATCGCGATCTAGGTCCTGTAATCTGCACAAAATTTGAAATTTAAATGGGT